ATGTTCATATATTCTGGATTTTATAACGAGGTAGTAGATATTTCGACAAGGTCTTTGAGCTTTTTTATTGAAAAAAAACACATTGAGCACAAATTATTATTCAAAGCAGACTAGATATTATATTTTAAAAGCTCTTGAGGGGGATCCGTAAATTAAATCAAATTAGTGTGCTGCAGCGTGTTAGGCTCACACACGGCTCCAGCTCTGCAGTGAAACCTTATCCCTGCATTGCCTCTTTGTCTATCAGTATCACAAATCAGCTGCATGTCCATTTATGAGCCTTCACTACTACGAGTGCTCTGTGTGTGACGTAGCAGCCCGCGACGTCCCAGATTACATATAATCTACGCAACTGCTGTTATTTCCCAACTGCGCATTTTACTCATCCCTTCAAGGTTCACTTCACACTGCTGTGTCGTTCACCTTGTTGTGTCCTTCCCCTGCAGGGAGGGAGAGAATGGGAGGGCGGAGAGAGAGAGAGAGAGAGATGATGGCTGGAGAAATGAGGGGACAGATAATGGGGGACAAAAACAAATCAGTAATGTGAAAAAGCACCGTGACGTTGCTGTTTAGATTTCTTGGCTGTTAGGCGAGGTGTGTAACTCACAGCGAGCAGAGGATCAATCATCAGTCCCGCTGTTATTGGCTGTGACATGCTATACAGTCCTTTAGTGTCTCTGTGTGTGTGTGTGTACGTTTTCTTGGCATCTCTCTTCATCACTGCCGTCTCCTCAGCTTGCAGCCCTGAAAGCACAACACTGGCTCTGCCTTTGCTCTCCTCTCTGGTGTCTGGGGTTGAGCGTGCGTTGACAGCAGCCATGGGCAGCGGCATGCACAGCAGTGCTGCTCCACTTACTGAAAACAGCCACCAACAGCCCATTTTTATTCATTCAGTTGCTCTTCCCCTGCCTGGATATACCCATCTCCCCACAGGCACCGCTTGACTGAGTTGTTTTTCATCCATTTAGCTTAAGAAATAAGTGACTGACTCCCTCGACTCCCTTCTCTAAGCTAAGGGATTCAGAGATGTGGGACACACAGAGAGGCACAGATAAATATGGCTGAATTCAGAGGTTTGAATACTGTGTGAAGTGAGTCTTACTGCGTCACTCACTTGATGCATGTAGGTGTTCATGGGGTAATTATCGAAAGTGCTTAGCGGGGCTGTTTCCCTTCCCAAAATAGGCCATAATTCAGAGGCGGAAATGTGAAGCTGTGTGAAGAACAATATGTGGTCGAGTTCAGTCGGAAAATGTCTGGCAACTGGCTCAGGTTTTCTGCTTATGCTTCCATCTTCCTCTGTCCATATGGGCTGAGTGGGCAAGAAGAATTGTGGAGGAGATAACATGCTTGATCATTTATACTGCTTATTGTTATAATAAAATAAAATGTAATGGTGGTTGGTAGGAAATGTGATTTTAGCGGTTTTGGTATTTAATTAATGGTTTTAGTCATTCTTCCCAGTTCTAGCTTTTCAATAATGAGGATTTCTAGTATGTATTTGTCAAATGTGATTATAAACTCAATATATTTAGTTTCTGGATACTTGGTAGATTAAATCAAACAATGTGCTGTATGACATTTTTCTTAATTTTCCAGGATTCTAAGCGTCATTGACAACACGTTTTAAGATGAATTGAAAACATCATGATGGCTGAACGCAGCCCTGATTTGTAACAACCTGTTTTCAGTTCAGTTTTTTTATCACCATTATTACAGTCAAACTACTGGCCAATTTTAATTCAACTTTGATGACAGGGTGATGCACGGCCACAGGAAGAACCCAGATCCTTCTCAAGGGGCAGATACACCATTTATTTTTTAATTCCTGATAACATTGAGAGATTTAGACACCAGTTTCTTTCGAGTTACAGCCATCAATTAACAGCTTAATGTACGATGTTGGATGCAAAGCCAAGTAAACCTACTCTGCTCCCTGCATACATGTAATAGTTGTTATATAAATGTCAGTCACATTTGCAAGCTTTTTTCTCTCTGTTCAACCTGGTGTGAAACATTAATCACCATCTTGGGTCAGAACATCGGACTAATTCTCTCTGTAGGGAAAATAATAATTGCTAATATCCTCGAGCAGCACCAAAATAGTGGCTGTGTCATTAGGCACATCCATGACTCACTGGTTCATGCTGTTGAAAAAAAAATATATACTAATAAGGGCTAAAGAAGAAAAAAGAAACCTCTCTTTGATGTTCTCCTTCTCTCCGTCAATACATCAGCGCAGATGATTAATGGAGCCTGTGTGTCAATGTGAAATGTATTCACCAGTTTCTATCCAGAGCAGCAGTCTGTACATTCACATTGCGTATATGGATCAGACTAAGTGGTAATGCACATGTAACCGCAGTCACATGGTTTCCCAGGTGTGATGCAGTTCAGTATGTGATTAGACGGCTTGGATGAACTCCAGAAGTGTCACTATGTTCGTCTCGTGGTGGCACAGATGCATCTCACACGCGATGAACACGGACCGTGTCACACGTTGACGATACGCCGTGTTATTTTGCAGCCAAACATCTGATACGAACACCTCTATACAGTATGTAACAGCTCGTGTGTCTTTGTGGTCTGTGAGCATCAGGTTTGACAGAAGAAAAGGATGCACACACACACACACACACGACAAAAAAACACAGCACCTGATAATCCAGGTAGCTGTCTCCATGGCAACAAGCTCAAGGATGGTTTGAAGACATTGTATTGATGCGCTGAAGTGACTGACAGGAAGTGTGTGTGTGTGTGTGTGTGTGTGTGTGTGTGTGTGTGTGTGTCAGAGCCATTTATGTAAAAACACAGCGTGTGTGTGCGTGCATGCATGCATTGCATTCCTGTCAGAAAATTGAGCTGTTTCACAAGCGGGATAAGAAGACACTTTTTGCTCGGATGAGTCATACTGTAGAGCACCAATCCTCAGAAAGTCTTACGCTGCATAAACTTGTGCGGCTTATTTCTTATAACATAACCCCCGCACTCACTCTGTCACCAATCACGCTCTGCCCCCGCTATTCTTTAACTCGCTTAATCTTCCTCCCTATTTCAGGATGTTTTAATAGTTTGACAATAGAAGAAAATGACATCCCGGGAAAAGACAAAAGCTATAAAAACAGCACAATGTCATTTGTCATTGTTTTCACTCGAGGAAAGACTTCACAGTGACCTTAGCTTTCATGGATCCTTTAGTCACGCGTCGTGACGTTCCCTGAAAGTTTCCCCTCCCTGCAGCCCACCCTCTGAGGGGCTTGTCTGGCCTGGTTGTGTCAGATTTCTGGTCCCTCAAGCCATCTGGTTACATCACAGGCTGGAGCAGCACGGCGGCACATCTGCAAATATTACAAGCCAGAGAAAGACAGGGGGAGGACAGGAGCCCACAGGAGTTATGTTTATATATCTGCGCACGTGGACTTGTGCCATGTCTGAAGCTATAAGAGCCAGCGCTCTCAGCCTGTTGCTGCCCATTCTCCATCTCTTCCTCTGCTGCGGCAGTGATGGAGAATCTCTGCATTGCTGAGCGTGACCCTGTCCTGCCTGAGGTCGGACACTGCCTGTCGAGTCTAGACTGAGGGTGTGTGTGTGTGTGTGTGTGTGTGTGTGTGTGTGTGTGTGTGTGTGTGTGTGTGTGTGTGTGTGTGTGTGTGTGTGTGTGTGTGTGTGTGTGTGTGTGTGCGCATACAAATCTGTTGGTACAAATATATTAAAAAAACACCAGGCTCGGGGGGGTTTCATCACACAGGTCATGATGTTGTAATATCCCATTTATTTATAGCACATAATCTGTTGACAAACCAGTTTTTGATTTATCCTATTTTAATTTATATGTGCACAGTTTATTTTACTACTTTACATTTTTAGTTGCATCATTGAGGTATTTGCACTATTGTGAACTATTGTGAATATGCTTTATGCCATATATATATATGGAATATATCCATGAGGAGTTTATCTGAGGCTTCACAGGATGAATAAGAAGTGAAAGCATATTTCTGCTATACAAACATCTCTATTTTTACTTTATTTCATACTGAACCTTATATCTATCTTTAGTCGTCTAAAAACAATTCAAATGCACCATTCTTAGATAAAAACATTCAATATGTGTCTGTACCGCCCAGAACTTGACATGACATTTGAGCAAGACAAGAAGACAGTGTTTGTTTAATAGTAAGGGCTCTCTACCTTTGAAATAAATATATTCTGCTATAATAATAGTGTGGCAGTTCTACACACATACACACACACACACACACACACACACACACACACACACACACACACACACACACACACACACACACACACACACACACACACACACACACGCACACACTTGTCCGTTCAAACCTCCTTAAGATCATTAACACTGATGTGAAGTGACACTTGCGTTGTTTTATCTGCGAGCACCGGTGTTGATGCAGTGAGAGGTGAGGCTCACATCAAAGTATAATCATAAATGAAATGGGTTTCTGCTCTATGAAGCACAAGGTCAGGCTGATATGTGTGTGTGTGTTGTCGGACATTATCTTAGTAGAGAGCCTGTGACCTGCTGCTCACACACTGATTCACTCTGCACATGCTGACGGGGGAAACCACTTTCTTGTGTCGAGTCACTTAGCATGTCATTTAATAAAGGGCAACATCTGATTAGTTCCTTATTATCTCATAAACCTGTGTGTCAGACTACAGTCCAGTGTGCGTACATAATATAATTATATAAGCATTTCCATTTGAACAGACACAGTCTCAGAAAGGAATCGTACAATTTCTGATCAAAGGGATTTTCTTTATTTGTTGGATCTCTGCAGAGTATGTGTGATATTTAAGATGAAGTTCTTTTGATGATACTTTGGCACGACTTCATTTCAGTTTTGAGCATTGCAGAAATGGATTAACCTTTCTGGAGTTTGCAGTGTTTCATATTTTCACATCATCATTTTGTCAAGCGGATTCAAGCTTTTCTAACAAACGTGTTTGTTCTGTTTTGCAGAAAGTGAGTGAGAAAGTTGGAGGGGCAGAAGGAACGAAGCTCGATGACGACTTCACTGAAATGGAGAAGGCAAGTCTGAAATCTTTGCATTATCGCTTAGGAAAGAAAACACACGCTTTGTCTTGTTATTAGTTTACATAAAGATCTTTCAAATCTTGTTGGACTTGTGTTTATCACTTGCTGTCATGTTGGAAAACTGCTTACAAGTTATTAGAAGATCAAACGCAAAGAACCATCAGAAAGATTTCTCAGCACAGTTTTAGTAAATCTAAAATATTAATAAATTGCACACATGTTGTTGCTCTTAATGGGGAGTCAACAGTGAATGCTCGCACACATTGATGGCCCACATCAAATCAAATCAATTTCTGAGCCATATTATCTTTATGTATGTGTAAATGTGAGTACTTGTGTATTTTGAGCATCACCACAAATATATATATGTATTTATTTATAGAAGGACCATGCATACAAATACATTAATCTCAGCAAAGAGAAGAGATGCAATATGCCAGATTATAGCTAATTTCCATCTGTGGTCCTCAGGCAGGTTCATAACAATCAATAAACAAATAATAACATTGCATAATCTCTATCAGTCAAACCATTTAAAAACCTGATTTAAGTACAGCTCAATAAATTAATACATAGTACACTTGAAATACACTACATGATCTCGGTCACTCAAATAATTACAAAGCCTGATTTAAATACAGGTTAAGAACATAATACTTAGTACACTTCAAATACACTTAAATAAAATATCTAAGATATAGTATGACGATACAGTTCAAATAAAAAAAACTCAGATTACAGTGTAATTAATGTTGGCATGACTGGTTGCTTAATATCATTTGTCATGTCAGTGCATGTGTGCTTAACCACGGACTGTATGGTTATACGTGATGCTGCGTGTGTGTCTCAGTGGTTGCAGTGTGCTGCAGAGAGAGAGGCTGAGTGTTGCAGAGCTGCTGGGAGCACTCGAGTCTCTACGCACTAAACAAGAACATCACAGGCAGCTCTCGCTTTGCCCGCCTCTCTCACACTTCAGAACAAAACAACACCTTCTCTTATCTGGTGTTTCTCTCACTGCTACATGCATAAAGGAATTTGTCTCTATTCTCCCACAATGCTTTCAGCCATTACCTGTTTGTGTTTCTACCACCGTCTTTTTAGACAACTGTTACTGCTGCAGCTTGTCTCTGTCTCTACATGTTGTTTTACATTCTGCTTTACAGAAAATGGACACCACCGCTCGGGCAGTGCTGGACATCATGACTAAGACTACTGAGTATCTGCAGCCGAACCCAGGTGATGACAGGCAGGATGACACTGTGATTTATCGTGTCAGACGTTAGGCTATTCTCCTAAAAGTTATTAATATAGTAATAAAAGAAGATCTAAAAAACATTCCCAAAATACACCATGTACCATTTACGCCAACACACAGATTTGAGGACTGTTTTAACTGTCATATAATCATTTAATTTAATTGAAAACAAGATATTTTTGGACCCGTGTGATTCAGCTCAGCAGGTGTGATTTACAGATTGAACACATCTTTCACTACTTAAGCTTTGTGGTAATTTAACAGCACAGCATGCAAAAAGAAAGCCTGAGGCAGAGGGAAAAGGCTGAGTCAGGCACAGTTAAGTAAAGGTGTCAGAGGGAATTGCAGCCTCTGTACACACAGAGAACCACCAGGATGAAGTTAGTTTTATATTCACTTATATTCACCTATGATATTCACATATTCATTTATAGTCTTTATAGTCAGGTTCGAGGTTTGATACAGAGCAGCTTGACTTGTTTGGCATCAATGAGTGTGATCAGACAGAGTTGATGTAAAAGGTTTCCTCTGGATGATCAATAGCCTTTTAAACTGTGTCTACAAACTAAATATGTTCAGACATTATGCTACACAAGGTGTCCCATCACATACATTATCCGTATGGATCAAAACACACAGTCAGACTAAGAAATGACTTCAAACATTTTGAATATTTTACTTTTTAGGCATCGTTTTAAAACATAGCCTCAATGTTCTGTTTTAACTTATTCTGTCTGACATGTACATAGCTTACTTATTGCTGCATTTTATTTGCACCTGTATATTATAATAGTATTTCTTATGGTCTCAAGTATATTATATGATTTTCATTTCCAACAACTGCACTGTAGCTCTTATATGACAATAAAGCCTTTGAATCTTAAATCTGGTAGCAGTGGTGTTTGGTTTCATTAGTGCTCTTTCCTCACAGCCACCAGAGCCAAGATGAGCATGATAAACTCCATGTCCCGTATGCGGGGACAGGAGAAGGGTCCGGGCTACACGCAGACCGAGGCCATCCTGGGAGAGTCCATGCAGCGGTTTGGCCGGGAGCTCGGAGAGGAGTCTAACTTCGGTGAGCAGCAGCACATGAAAGCTCCTCGCAGAGAGAATAACACTCTTTGTTTAGCTTCACTAGAACAAAGTGGCACCACTTTGTTCCCTCAAGGACTCGTAACAAAGTTATTAAATATGCATGAGCCTATTGTTCTGCATGAAGTTGTTATTTAGTTCACCAGCGGTGGCATGAAAGAGAAATACCTGCTTCAAAGTTGTCTGTGGATTCGAATGAGAGAGTGACTGTAATATATATGTGTTCTGTGTCAGTGTCTAAATGAGTCTTTACTTTTCAGGCGGTGCTCTGATTGAAGCTGGGGAAGCCATGCGTGAGCTTGGAGAGGTGAAGGACGCTCTGGACATAGAGGTCAAGCAGAACTTCATCGATCCGATGCAGAACCTCCACGAAAAGGATCTGAAGGAGATTCAGGTACGGATGCAAAAACAAGCAGTTACCTCAGAAATCTCTTGATCTGTGACTCATATGTATTTCCTTACTCTCCTCCATTTGCAGCATCACCTGAAGAAGATGGAGGGTCGTCGTCTGGACTTTGACTATAAGAAGAAGCGCCAGGGCAAATGCACAGACGACGAGCTCAAGCAGGCCCTAGAGAAATTTGACGACTCCAAGGAGATCGCTGAGCAGAGCATGTTCAACCTGATAGAGAGCGACGTAAGATGTTTTCATCACCTGTCCCTTTCCCTCAGACTTACTCTACCTGTTGGTTTGTTTAGTCTGTATGATATAATACTGTGCTATCTACACTTTGTTTTGTTGCTGTGGCAGCATTTATTACCAATTTTTAAAATGGCTCCATTATTTCCCTTTGCTGCATGATACATTTTATATTACATGTTACTTGTTAGACTTACATACTCAATACTGTGGACAATCCCCACAGGAGCAAAAACCCCACTGCAGCAACGACATGCTGACTGCAGTGGGGTTTGAACCTGTGCCCCCCTGATCCGAACACCAACGCACAATCCACTGCGCCACACACCTCCATATATACACATAGAATAACAACGTAACAAAGCAAGTCATTGTCTTTTAAGGCAATGTGACAGCTATTTGCCCTAAAACCATTACAATTCTTCAAATTCTTCTGCTACTACTTTAAGAAATATTAGTTTATCCTATATGTGTACAATTAAATCTCACCACAGGGCCGATGAGTTGGTGTTCTGGAGCTTTCTATCATATTACGCATCTTCCT